AAGAGAAAACGAGAAATAAAACGTCGAAACACGGAAACACGTGAAATAAAAAGGCCGAAAACGTTGCACGAAAATAACCCTTTACCACCCTCTAAATAGGCCATACTAGATGTCGACACCTCATATTAGAACTTAAGTAGATGGTCAATTTCGTTTGCAAGGTTAAAGAAATCTTCAACTTGCTCTAATTTGCCTGTGAAGACCATAAAACCGTCATCCCTATTGATAGTGTAATTTGATGTTTTCTCTCCATTGGAACTTATCTAAGGTTTTAATGAGTACAAATTAATAAGACTGGTTGGTACGCTCCTATAATGTGTTTGTATAACAGTCCATTAAACACAAATTCATTGTTTCTAAGAATTAATTTAACAAATGCAGTTAAATCTATTTTGTTGAGCATCTTTAAAGTATATTCTCCTATGTGTCAATAAATTCTAATGCATTGATAACAATTTCTTCTAAATTGTCAATGATCATATTTGTCTACATTGACGTACATCATAGGCAATAAGAATGCATACTTTTTTTACCTCGTGTGACTCTATTTTATTTGGGATCCCGCTAACATGTTTAACCCCGCCACATTCTGTATGTATGTGCCTGTCCCAAGTCAGGAGCCTGTAATTCAGTGGTTGTCGTTTGTTGATATGTTACATATTTGTTTTTCGTTCATTTTTTGTACATAAATTAGGCCGTTAGTTTTCTCGTTTGAATTGTTTTACATTTGTCATTTCGGGGCCTTTTATAGCTGACTATGCGGAATGGGCTTTGCTCATTGTTGAAGGCAGTACGGTGACCTATAGTTGTTAATTTCTGTGTCATTTGGTCTCTTGTGGAGAGTTGTCTCATTGGCAATCATACCACATCTTCTTTTTTATATTTATAATTAGATCAAGTATAAGTATCTCTCGCGGGAGAGTTACACTTATTGATGATTGGTCGGTAACGAACATTAATGTGTCCTGCTAGCTGACCAGTTCGCAATGCCTCATTACTTATTTCTAGATTAATTTAATGAATTTTTGGAAGAAGGTACATGTGTCCTCCATGTTTTGAATTATTATTATTCTTTAAGAAATTATACGTCTGGGAATCATTTTTTTTTCTCTCCTTGCTTTGAATTTAACACTTCTCTCAACATGCCAAAATTGTAATGATTTATAATAAAAAGAAAATATTATCCTCCACACACATGGCCAAGATAACACTGATATATAATTTCTTATTCAGTTGAATTAATAATTAGAATAAAAAAGTTCTTCTAAGGTTCACGTATTGTCTTTTTTTTTTTAAAAAGCAACTTGTTTTAAGTTATTATATGATTGGCACAGAAAAAAATAAGTGTTCAATTGTTATATTGGTCGTCTAAATCTATTTCTAGAGTGACCTGGTGCGTTTATAATATCAGTTCTACGGTATAATGGCTATTTTGTTGTGGATGCAAGATTCTGAAATGGGGAGGGTACACGTAAGGATTGGGACTTATAACCATGGATGTATCTCTATCAGGGGGGGGGGGCGGGCGCCCGCGCCCTAATATTCCGCCTCTGTTGTCTATATGATCATCAAAGACATACAAGTCATATAATACACTATTAACTTGATTTTATAAATATCTCTCTATTCTTGTTATCTTGTCATTGCTTGCTTTACTGGGTCAGACACCGGGAGACTTTATGATTATAAATCATCGAAATCTGGATGGTTGTATTGCAATTAATTAGCGGAGCCACTCAGTATTGCCACACGTTTTGATCGGGCCTCGCTGCTTCGGACAGTCTATATGTACCCTAACCTGAATAATTATATTACCAACTCATATAAACAGTACATAGTTTGCAGTATATATGTCTTTGATATAAGCGACACTGAAATCTGCGCTACAACAAATGATCACATAGCATATGTATTCTTCAGTTTGTAATGCGGCATGTGGTGTTTGTCAATTGTATCATTCGTGGGTCCATGATTTGAAATATCTGCGACACATTAGTTATACCATGGAAGTAATATGTTAATATTACTTCCATGGTTATACTCTTCCAAAGTTTGATACTTCAACTTCAACCTCAACTTCTCGTCAAAATCCAATCTGACAGGACATCTAACGAAGTAGGTTAATTGCTTCCATGTCGATCCGGCCCCAAGTCGATCCGTCCCAAGTCGTTCCGTCCCAAGTCGATCCGGCCCCAATACAATATAAAAAATATTTATAAGGAATAAAAATAAAGATATATATGAATTCAGTGTAGTTCATAAATGTTTATGAATTTTATAATAATATAAAAGGTGGACGGTAAAAAAAGATTGCCTTTGACGAATATTTGAATATTAAATTTTCATAAGATCAGAGACATATAATACAAGAGATTCGCAACTCTAGTAGAGCCAATGAAATGACGTGGCCACCGGAAAGCCGATTAATCCGATTTATTTATGGGTAAAAACATGCTATTGTTGTGAAAAATGTTCTACGCCTCACGTTTTTTCTAATGGATAATGCCGATACCTTTCACAGCTAAAGCATGCAAGTATATTTAAAAGTTACAAAAAACTAATTCTAATAATTTGTTATTGAAAAAATGTGTTCTAATGATTAGATTAATCAAATACAAACACAGTTAAAACTCGGCCCATTTTACTTCACCTATTGCCGTAGAAACCATTTGATCTCCCAATTTTTTTCTTAAAACTTGGAAATATGCTAATAAATATATAATTTTATGGGCCAATAGTACTCCCAAATGTTGTTTCGTATTATATGTCTCTGATAAGATGAGACAGTTTCAATTGTGATAATATAGAAGATGAAAAACATGTATTGTTAACATGTCCATCATATCTGGGAACAGTATATCTAACGGGAAATAAATCTGATAGGCTTTTCAGTATAAAACTGATAAAATCTCGAACGTTGCGTTTCCGTTCGTATCTTTATTAACTATGACCCGACGATAAAATCGGCTAAATTTAGGTAGTGTCAAGTCCCGTCAATATATATGTTCCTGATTATATGAAGATCTAAGACAGTCTTTATTTATTGATATAAATCATTAACATAATAATATGTTTTTAACTTTATCAGATGATGAAAAATTTATATTTTTATTCAAAAATGAAAATGTTTGTAGTTCTGTTGCCAAAACCTGCCATAATATTTTATTGCGACGAAATAGTATTTTATATCGTTGAAATTTAAAGATGAAGACAGTGGTGGAAAAAAAATGAAAGTACATTTCTTCTTTTTGTTATCTAAAAAAATTTAACAATTAATTATAAGAACTTCAAATAAAAGACCTTGTTGCTTCATTGAGTAAATTTTTCCATCATGATTTTGATTGAATTAAGTGATTGCGACTGGCGTTAATTTGGTTCACGATCATCAGACAAAAGTTGAATAAACAAACCAATTATAGACTAATGGTTTGATTTAAACAAGCTATTATGATGATTACATAATTATCTCTTCAATGTGTGAATTAAATAAATACTTTTCCCCCCATGATATTCAAGTAATCATGGAAAATAACTCCATATTTATATGCTGAAGCTGTAACAGTGGTTTGATTCCGCCAGTGTACTTTATCCGGAGGATGAAAATTCCTAGTGTGTTTTATCCACCAACAAAAATTCACGAGGTTTTTTAATCCGGGTCCAGTGTAAAATATCCACCACTCATCATAAGATTCTAAAGAGAGTTTTTTGAAGGGAAATTATATAAAAAATGGGGCTTGGTATTTTTTAGGGGAAATTTGAATTAACTAAAACTTGCATAGTTGATTTATGTAAAAAATGGACAAAGTAAACTAGTGTTTTTCATCCAAGAAATGTTCACAAAGTGTTTTGAACCAGGAATGATTACACTAGTGCTTTTGTACCAGGGATGATTACACAGGTGATTTTGAACCAGGAATGATTACACTAGTGATTTTGTACCTGGAATGATTGCACTGGTAATTTTGAACCGGGATTTATTACACTAGTGTTTTAGATCCATACATTGATGAAGTGTTTTAGTACTCATTTTAAATACATGATCATTACCAGATTTTACTTTTTAAATTAAAAGATATGCCGAAAAAAAGAAAAAAAAAATATTTCTTAATCAAATACATTATACAAAATACACTATTTCAAGAAGTTTTTTGAAAAAAGAAATTATTTGCTCTGAAATAAGTTTTCCTATTACTTTTCTTGCAATTGATTAGCTATCGAGGTTATTCATCCCTGACTTGTTTACATGTTGTAGAATAATTATCGACCGAGAATCTCATTCCGGGCCGCGTTTTTTAACGGGATTTCACGGAGTTGCCAATCTCTGTGTATATATATCTCTGATACTGTATTGCCGAAGTTTTTCTGTGCATTTGAGTTTTGGTCGACTTGGAGATAAAATCATATCTTCTATGCCAATATTAATTAAACTGGTTCCTTGAAAATTATTCTAATTTTAACCCATTAATTTATATTAACAATAAACCGGTCAAATATAAACAAAACAACGATATCAAGATCGACGCTTTCACACTATTTACATCCAATATTCTCTAGTAAATAACAGTTACCCGGAATAAAAACACGGTGGAATGAAATTACGGTTACAAAGCTGCTTTACAAACAGTACCAATCATACTCATTTTCGTAAAATTATTCATCTGAATGTTACTCAAATATTAGGCATACTTCAGTTACCTGCTGTCATTAAGCATCGATACTTTTAACAAATTCCATTTATCTTGATTCAAATATGTCACCAAATCCTCCGAAGTTAATATAAATTATTCATTATTTTATTATGGGCCGGATCTAATTGGGACCGGATCGAATTCCTTTAATGATTATTATCAATAAAATATTTGAAATTGAAAAATTTGAGATCGTACATAGATGATTTTTGTGTCATTGGATTGCTGTTTTATTGGTGTATTATATCCCATATCACTTACATCTAATGGTGTTCCTAAATAGGGGAGGTTTTTGAAAACGAAACGTATCTAGTCGTTACTCTCCCCTGAAATATAAGAGAACGGCATGTGAAGAAAAAAAAACTGTACACAACTGACTATGGCAGTCAATTTAGAGGACCCTACACACAGTAGAAATGTACAGATAATCTAATCTTTTTCATAGTTACTAACCTCTAGCTCTAGCAATTAGAAATCATGTCAAAACGAAGAATTCAAGCGTGTCCTCATCAAAAGGTCAAACTAATCTTGGTGCTTGTTGGTATCACACTGATCTGGTATGTCAATGCTCGAAGTATACTTCTCATGTTTCTTTGGAGTACTTGTTTAATACTGGATCGTGATTCAGGACTTGTCAGCTATTGATATGAAAAGCAAAAGGCCGTGTTCATGATGTTCTCCCTGGGAAGCAGTGACTTAAGGTTCATGTGGACCCTTTGGCTAAAATGACTGCATTTTCACCTCAAAATTTACTCTGAGTACAGACAAACCTGCGCATCTGGAAAAGTTTTAAGGCATAGCATGCCCTAGATAAATAAACTTCTAATGCATTGTATGTTTTAGAAAATTTAAAACTTAACTGGATTTAGGAGTGCACTTTTTTTCGTCCCTGCAGAAGATGATAAAATTAACAAACAGTTGAGTTTCACTTGATATGGTCCACTCAGGTACACAGTTTAAATCACCAATTATTGTCAGGTATCTATTGTCCATCTATTGTCCATGTCAATCAAAACAGTTCACTTCAATTATTACCTGTGGGGAAGTTCTCAAACCTCTTTCCCAACTTAGTTTATTTTGGCACCTTCTGGAGGAATGAAAAAAAGTGCACTGCAAAATCCGGTTAAGTTTTTAATTTTCTAAAACATAAAATATATTTGAATTTTATTTATCTAGGGCATGCTATGCCTTAAAACTTTTCCAGATGCGCAGGTTTGTCTGTACTCAGAGTAAATTTTGAGGTGAAAATGCAGCCATTTTAGACGAAGGGTCCACATGAACCTTAATCTACAACACTGGCAACAGGAAAGATAATGCATGCTAAGATAGATGGAAATACTGAACATCAAAACAGACATACATCCAATATTGTCAGAATCACGATCCTGCACCTAAACAAGTATTCTTAAGTACCGTGAGAAATTACCTTGATCAACAGTGTACCATAAGAGGAAACAAAATAGTATAGAGACACACGTTCCAATTTTAACCTTATAATCAGGAATCAGGACAGTCCAATAATCTGACGGTCTCTTCACCAAGCTGTGCTGCAGCAGAGAATGGGTCTCCTCTTCACATAAGCTTATTAGTATACTGTCGAAACACGAGTAGTGTCCTTTGAACATCACCAATATCTCTGTCATACATTTTTGGGTCATATGATACTTGATCCATTTTTTTTTGTACTTCAAGTTTGTTTGAACAGATTTTCATATTATTATAGATGTAAAAAAAATGCCCTAATATTTATTATTTGACTGGCCTTTCAGCCCTATTCGTCACAACTTGGTCGATTCCCTTCCTCCTTCTATAAAGGGTTTAGCAGATTCACCAGAGGACTGCCGATTAGTTTCAGTCCGCTGTGTTCATCTCCAATTCATATGGGAATAGTATGGGCCTGAACAAGACATCATACTGACTGATTTAATTATTTGTTAAAAAAAAGTGTTACAAACTGGCATCTCTGTATTGGCCCTCGTTTGAATACCAGGTTGGAATGGTTGTATTGAATACCTGTATATGCCAGGTCAAATAAGATAATACCAAATGTTATACAATATTTCACTGTACTTTTGTGATCTATTTGGGAGTCTAATACAGTTTCAGAATTCAAATATATGAGACCACTGTCTCTGGAAAAGGGGGAACACTAAATGACGATTGTAAAACACACCTAACTCTTGCAATTTAGTCTTTTTGTGGTCTAATAGCATTTATTTATTTTAAGCATGGGAGAATGATGTTATACTATGCAAACTAGTAGATTTAAAGTTTAGAGGACAATTGAGCTATATGAGTATGTAATTTTCTGCAAGAGAATTTGTAGTCAAACCCATAATTAACATATGATTACAAAACTTCTTTAGCCCACTGTTATCGTTAAGTAAAGTCCTCATATGGCTGGACGCATCAATAGCATGGCATAATTCATGTGTATGGAGTCGAAACTTAGAAGAAAAAGTCACTCAATTTCAAACCACAGGCACTATAGTCTTGTCTCTGTGAAAAAATATACCTAGTATATATACAAATGTTAACATTTATATGGGTATATTTTTCAAGCAACAGCATGTCCCACTAATAGACTCTCTGATTATAGGACTATCGGACTAGAGGATTGTTGGATTAAAAATTGTAACCCCCAAAGTCCCTGGCTCACCCCAATAAGAATCCCGGTAGAAAATTTTGATTTTCATAATTTGCAATATTACATGGTAGGTTTCTTTATTTGGGGGTTACAATAATGCTTTTATGTATGTTGGAATGTCCCAATCTACTTACTTAAAGTTGATTTCCCAGTAACACTAGGGTTCTTCTTCACCAAGACTCATTATTTATTTCTATTATTTTAAATGATTAAGGACAATCTGGTGATTTTTTGGTTAAAGATTGCATGAAATGCAATCAAAACCCTATGGTACTGACTTGTTATCTATATTTTCCAAGGTTTATCACTACCTTTGATAGTTCAAACAAAATAGTGAAGTGAAGTCATCATTATTTAGATCCTATCCAGTCAATGTCATACAATTTATTGATGATATGTTATACTTTGATATTTAAGTTACAATATGATTTGTATTTGAATTACCATACTTGTCAAGACAACATTTTTATATTAAAAATTACGTAAGTAATGCATGGTGTTTGACTTGTTATGAAAATAGGTTCAATAACAAATGCACAATCATGAACAAAGGAAGATAACTCCAACTCAAATTTTTAATTTGCCTAGCAAAATACAGTATTTAAAAATTCTTAAAATTGCAAAATGAAAGCAATCTTTACCCTTCAGTGCTCACAAGCACTTTGTTTAAAGTTTGCTCTTATATGAGATGTATGTTGTGTTGTTACACCACTGTCCCAGGTAGAGGTTTTAGTGCTCACAAACATGTTTAACCCTACCACAATATGTGTCTGTCCAAAGTCAAGAACCTTTAATTTAGTGTTTGATGGTTGCTTATTGTAGAAATCTGTACAGTGGCCTATAGATGGTTACATCCACACCATTTGGACTATTGTGGATGGTTGTTTCTTTGGCATTAATACCAGATCTCATTATTTTTATATCCTTTAATATTGATGCTTTCAGAAATGAGGTAGACCTGGGGTCAGCATTCCAACTGAGTTATCTAAAATGTATGTTTGTATGATTGTGTGTAATATCATGTTCCTACCGTGTGAAACAAAAAAGGTCTGTAATCAGTTAAAAAAGTGTATTACATGTAAAAAGCATTCAAGTTGGCAACTACATGTATGCTTAGCTTATTCAGTCTTCCAGTTCCTGTTGCAATTATTCACACAAGTTTCCAATTTATTGTCTTGCTATAAAACAACTTGATACTGAGGTTGGAGAGTTGATGTTAATGAATAGAATGAATCCACATTAAGTCAACAGTTTGACAGTGATAAGCTGTTGTAACATATGACCACTATTGTATCTATCAGACAACTGCTTCCTGCATGCTGATAATTTGAATTTTTCAATATGTTGAATGAACTTAAAATTTTCCATCACTCCATATTAATTCAGCAACTTGATTGTGATGAGTTGTAGTGTGTGACCCCTTTTCCAATCTGTTTGTCCAATTGTTAAACTATATATTTTTGTTAATTCTTTTTCAGCTGCGTGATTTTTTGTTGCTGTACAATGTGTTAACAGAGCAGTGTTTTAATAGTTGTGTCAAACGTTTTCACAGCAAAAACTTATCCAGAGGAGAGGTAATTAATAAGATAAAATAATGTTCTTTAATAGTTTTATGTGTCAATGAGATAGCAACCCAGTCACATATAATCCAATAGACATCTTAAACAGTCTTAGATAAGTGTCCATACCAAATGTAAAGACTATTTGTAACATAAGTTGATAAGGAAAATAATTGCACTGGGCAATTTTTGTTAGGCATGCAGGCTTCAGTCATTATTTTGAAAGTTGAAAATAGCATATGGCCTGAGAACACAGTTATTTCGTAGTATATTTCTTTTAGACAATAAATTCAAATAAAACTAGATGTATAGGAATGACACGAATGGCACTGCTTGCTAAAAAAATTTGAAGCCATTTTTAGGAGTGGAATTTCACAGTCCAAAGCCCTTAATTTTGTCAAAAATCAGCAGAGCATAAACTAAACGTAAACTCGATCTGTAACTCATCATAGTTGGCTCATATACTGAAAATCAGCTTAATATGTGAAGGTTTAGAAAAAAAGTCTGTATAACTGTTATTTTCAGGTCATTTTCAAAATCAAAAGCCTTTAATTTCAGCAAAAATCAGTGGAGCGGAACCAAATTTAAACTTGATCTGTAACTCATCATAGTAGACCCACATCCTAAAAATCAGCTCAATATATGAAGGTGTTTAGAAAAAAAGTTTGTATTACTGTTCATTGCCGAATGATGGAATGACAGAATGATGGATAAGGGTGAAACTATATGGCCCTGACCTAAGTTGGCAGGGGCCATAAAAATTGCACCTGCTCTATCTCAAAAAGAATTTGTTTAGTGTAGTGTACTACTTTTGGGACAAATAATATCAAAATTATAGAAAAGTCTACCAGCTATAAATCAAAATATGGACAATTATGTATTAAGGGGGTATATAATTCAGTTTCACAGCTTCAGACATACTAATTTTTGACCTTTTTAACTGGACCAAGTCACTACTTACCTAAAAATTCATCATCCAAATTTTTTTAACATGTTATTTCATCCCTTAATATTTTATGCATAAAATATAAAGAAATAAATTTGGAAAGTGTATGAAAAAAATTTGCAAGTTATACACTGTCCACACTAGGGACTATATTTGTAGACAGCGAAAAATCAAAGGACGATAACTGTCCTAGGACCATATGAAAAACATGCTTTTACATTTATTGCAGAATATGGTCATTTGATTTATTTAGAAACTTAAGCTAACTCATAAGGTAAAAGTTGACAGGAAAGCTGACCATCAATAGTTTTTGAAGAAATGTATGATACTTATTTTATACTTTACAGAATAACTGACAAACTAAAATTCTGGTCAGTGTATTATCATGTTTCCTCTGACTTGTTACTTATGCATACATATGAATTAAAAAAAGGGAACCAATTTTAAATAGTTATATAAATCATAATCCAATTTAAAGAACAAGATAAAAATAAGGAGATGTGGTATAATTGCCAATGTGACAACTATCCACCAAAGTTCAAATGAAGTGGATGTAAGCAATAGACTATTTTCATATTACCGACTTTTGACTCCGGATTATATAATTTGTCGACTGGTTACCATGGACATCATGGTACTCGGTCAAGTAAGAGCAACCAAAATAAGTAAAATCAAACATATAATCGGTGTAATTTGAGGGGAAAGTTTACTGTTTTCCGATAATTTTGTAGTGAAAAAAATATTAACCAGGTAATTTTCCCCCAAAATTGTACCGATTGAAAGCTTGGTTTTACTTCTTTAGCTTGCTCTTACCTGATTTGGTACCATGATGTCCAAGGTAACCAGTCGACAAATTATATAATCCGGAGCAAAAGTCGGTAATATGAAAATAGACTATTATAGGCAACCGTACATCCTTCAACAATGAGAAAACCCATATCATATAGTTGTCTATAAGAGGCCCCAACATGAAAAATATGAATCAATTCAATGGAGAAAACTAACGGCCTAATTCATAAGAAAACATTTACGAAAAAAATAACTATAACAGACAAAAGGTTCACTTTTGGGCAAATATGGCCCTAAATTTCAACTTTTATCATTAAACTTCAAAAAGGTCATAATTTGTTTCTTTAATTGATCTCTTTTAAAAGCCTCTTTGCTTGGATATAAATATTTCTTTATAAGAGTATACCATAGCCTCCAAAGTCAGCATATTTTGGTTATATAGTCAAAATATGCTGATTGTGTGCATTTTTCAGATCTAAAAGCTTTAAAAGATGATTGGCCGCAACCCCTGATCCAAAATGTTCTTTAACCAAGAGGTATCAATCATTATATTGCATCCCCTGACACAAACATTTTCTGGATCAGGAGTTGCAGCCAAAGTACATGCTGAAAACTGTTATAAATTAACGAGAAATTAGACCAAAGCAGATGTTACAAAGGTTTCAATGATAAAATATTAGCTAATATATATGTAAGAGAATTGGATTTCTTGCCAGGAAAAAAAAGAAAGTTGCTGAAAATTTTGATATTGATATTCATAAAAAGAAACTAAGAAATTTCAATTCAATGGACTTGTATACAATAACTTAATTTTTGCCAACATCATTATCTCTGTAACTAAATCATGGGCACACAAATTTACCAATTAGCCTCCCCTCCTATCAAAACATTATTTCTTTCTTTTTATTATGCCATACCTATCAATGCTTTTTAACATTTAGAGCTATTTTCCTAATGCTTGTAGTTTAAAGGTTTAGTTGGCTTGCTTGCTTTGTTTGTATAAATGTTTGCTCAAGCATTGTAATTAAGATTGACATCTGTAATCAATAGATAGGCGGGGCTTCAGCTTGTATAATGTTATTGGATGTTAAGTATAATGCAGAGTATAATGTATTAACAAAGGGATAAATAATTTTCAGAAACAAGTGCCTGTGGCTTCACTGTGTGAATCATTTTCAGGTTCATGGCTATTTGACTTTTCATTTGCCAAATACATGTGTCTTTTAAATGTACCAGGTACACAAAAACTGTGTAGTGTTTTCCTTAGTAACTTCATCATGATATTTGATACCAGCTATAGGCCCTAACTTGTTATCAGTTTCATTTCTACTTTACTTTCTGATTGTCAAATACATGCATATTCTTTGCACCTGTCCTAAGTCAGGAATCTGATGTTCAGTAGTTGTAGTTTGTTGATGTGGTTCATAAGTGTTTCTTGTTTCTTGTTTTTATATAGATTAGACTGTTGGTTTTCCCGTTTGAATGGTTTTACACTAGTAACTTTTGGGGACCTTTATAGCTTGCTGTTCGGTGTGAGCCAAGGCTCCGTGTTGAAGACCATACTTTGACCTATAATGGTTTACTTTTATAAATTTTGACTTGGATGGAGAGTTGTCTCATTGGCACTCATACCACATCTTCTTATATCTATATTCTGTATATTACATGTACATAGTATATATGATCATTTTATAGCATTTTTATTCACCCTATGTATCAAAATGATTCTTTGATTATAAGCAACAAACTTTAGTTAGAATAGCTAAATTTTCCCATAATATTTTTAGATTTGTCAGTAGTTAATTATCTGATTATGACATATAATTGAATTAAAGAAGATATTGGTTATTTGTCAATGAAACAGCAACCCAATAACAGAATATAACAGAAAAATACACCTGTTGGTCAATATACAATATCTACTCTCATTTTCTGGTGTCCATGCCTTAGTCTGTAAATTTTGCTTGCTTACAGATTGTGAAAATAAGTTGGTTTAAACTGTAAAATGTATATGAATAAAAGGAGATGTTGGGTATTCGTTAATGAGACAGCAACCCAATGACAAAAATAATCAAAAATTGTAAAGGGCATTAAAGTCTACTACAATAGATAGGCCATAGACATCTGTACAATATCCCAAGCTGTAAACCCTCCCTAGTCTAGAAAAGTTATATAACTGTAACATTTTCACCAGGAACTTACAAATTAATGCTTTTTTGCATTTAGTTCAAAGGGTAACCTTGGTAAGCTACAATGTGTGACACATTTTCAAGTCTGATTTTTATATTAATGTCCCTTTATATTACAGAATGATTGTGCTAACCTGTGTACAGACAGATATGTGTCATTTAATCAGAAGCTAATGATGACATTTGTAGAAAATCAGAATAAAAAGAATAAGGATTTAGAGGAAGCCATGAAATCATCAATGGCACCCACTTTACTGCCTCAATCCAGTGAACCAACATAACTTTATTGCCACAATCCAGTGGACCAACATGGCTTTCATTGTAATGTAATTAAAAAACAATTTGAATAAATAAAGAAAGGTTGAATAAATTTTATATCTATACAATTTAATAGAGATTTACCTTGTATGCTCTTGGTGATGCCAAAAGTGACAATCCTATCATCCCTTTCTTAATCCTTGACTATGACATCACTGATATAAAAATAAGAAGATGTGGTACGATTGCCAATGAGACAACTCTTCACCAGAGACCAAATGACGTAGAAGTTAACAACTATATGTCACTGTACAGTTTTCAACAATGAGCAAAAGTCATACCACATAGCGAGCTATAAAAGGCCCTGTATTGACAAATGTAAACCACACAATAGGTGCCACATTTGAACTAGGAACTTATATTTCCCCTGAAAGATGATTTTAACCCATTTTTTCATTTTTGTCAAAAACAAGTGTTGATAAGGAGAAACTTTGAAAAGAAAAAATAAAGATCAGCAAAATAAGATCTACAACTTACACAAAAACTTTAAAAGATAGGCATTAACTGTAAACAGTATGGTTAGCGCCATATTGAAATAAAGACAAATGCGATGAAAAAGGTGGTCTAAATTTCGGTGTGTCAATCAAATTCTCATCAGCTGATTTCTAGTTTGCTTCCTGTAGGCGAGATTAGTCTACCTGTTTCCATACAAATGATGGCAGGCGTTATTTCTACTATCTCTTCGTTTGGGCCGGGTAGTGTGGTTGGTTCCAGCTCCACATTGATTGATGTTGAGTCACCCGACTGTTGTTGAAAGGCTTTTCTGTCTTGACCTCTCTTTCGTTGCATTTGTCTTTATTTCAATATGGCGCTAATTTAACATCATTGAAAAAAAAATGTTGTTTTTTTTTGCTCCGTCTGGAAGGCCACAATGTGACTGAGATGAAGAAGTGAACAGCAATAAAAGCGCTGTTCCTTTGCTTTTTGTGCACATGTTTTTTTGCCGTGCATGTACTGATTTTGTGTCATGGATGGATACCCCATATCCTTTGTTTTTCTATTATGTTATGGATACCGTCGACAATAATTTGTACCTGCTCATTTGGAATGATACCTTGGGTTTGTTTGACTTTATTCACAAAATCAAGCATGCAAACAGAAACCTACGAATACATAAAAATAAACTTTAATTTGTTACCTGGCTGGATGTTTGCAAAAACAAGACCTTCTTACACAATCCAGAGAGTATATCAGCAATTGAAACAATAAGGAAGAATCTTGAATTAAAATTTGTTTAATAAGCCTCAAGACCAGCAAAAATCCCTTTTTGTCAATTTAATTTTGTTCAACGTGATGTTAAATGAATTTAATGGTAAACTGATGAGCTCACATCTTTTTAAATGCCACTAAATAGATTGTCTTTTGATTGAGTTAAGGGAGCTACCATTTGATTTTTATGGGGGGGGGGGGGGGCGGGGGGGGGCGGGGGGGGGGGGGGCGGGGGGGGGGGGGGGGGGGGGGGGGGGGGGGGGGGGCTAGGATGAAAAATTTTGTCCTGCATTTTTTTTAGTTGTAATCTCTGTCCTGCCTTTTTATTTTTCACTCTTTCGGTCGTGCCTTTTTTTTATTAGTTTATCCTGACTTTTTTTTACACTTAATTGTCATCCTGCCTTTTTATTTGGCCAAGTTGCTCATCCTGCCTTTTTTTTTAGTCAAAACTCCTGTCCTGCCTTTTTTTTCAAATTTCATCCTAGCCCGCCCCCCCCCCCCCCCCCCCCCCCCCCCCCCCCCCCCCATAAAAATCAAATGGTAGCTCCCTGAGCCATTTCAATTGATATTTTATAGTGTGTCTTTCTATGTTGTGATGTTACACTATTGTTTCAGGTTAGGGTGAAGGTTGATCTATGAGTTTGACTGTCCCTCTGGTATCTTTCGTCCCTTTTTTGGCGCCTGTTAAAAACGTTTAAACCCGCTGCATTTGTTTGCACCTGTCCTTAGTCAGGAACCTGTTGTTCAGTGGTTGTCCTTTGTTGATGTGGTTCATAAATGTTTCTTGTTACTCGTTTTTTATGTAGATTAGACTGTTGGTTTTCCTGTTTGAATAGTTTTACACTAGTCATTTTTTGGGCCCTTTATAGCTTGTTGTTCGGTGTGAGCAAGGCTCCGTGTTGAAGGCCGTACTTTGACCTATAATGGTTTACTTTTACAAATTGTGACTTGGATGGAGAGTTGTCTCATTGACACTCATACCACATCTTCTTATATCTATTTACAGAAGTCCATTACTAGAGGAACCTCTAGTAATGGACTTCTGCTATTTACAAATAAGCAAACATAACAACTGATTTCAATAAGGTAAAATTAAATCAAAACGGAATATTTGTTTAACCGTGCGAGCGATTTAGGCTCTCGCGAGCGTCCTGGTCATGGTGTTGTTGGTCTGTTATTCACTTATGTTTTTAAACTTTATTGCTCCCTAGGAATTTTTATTTTTCAAGAGACTGTGACAAAAAAGTAAGAACAGCGGAATTGGAAGCAAAATTAAAATTAAACTATTATTACGAGTTTCATTCGTCATAATTTCCCACAACATTGGTATTTATAAGTAATTTGCCAGAAGGAGAAGAAATTGGTAAATTTGGAATTTGTCACTCTCGTTTTGTAATTTTGAATGAAAGAAATATACAAAAGTATATTAGAAAACTCATAACTTAAACTTTGACCAAACATTTAGCTAGAACTGCATTATTATCATTCATTCAACTGTAATAAGTCCCATGGTTTTAAGATTAACTATAGACCGGTTTCTTTAACGGCTATATGTTGTAAGGTTTTAGAACACGTCTAAACAAGTAACATTAGAAAACATTTAGATTTAAATAATATTTTAAATGATTGCCAACATGGCTTTAGGAGTAAACATTCCCGTGAAGCACAACTTGTTATCAGCATCCAGGACATAGCCAAATACTTAGCAGAAGGTAATCAAGTTGATGCAATACTTTTAGATTTTCCAAAGCTTTTGATAAGGTCCCCCATGAAAGGTTAATAACAAAGCTTAATTATTATGGTATACGTGAAAATAACTTACTTTGGATAAAAGATTTTTTGTCAAACAGGCAACAGCAAGTCCTGCTTAACGGTGTTCAATCTTCCAAATTAGCTGTTGACTCTGGTGTTCCTCAGGGCACAGTATTAGGCCCAACTTTATTTTTGTTATTCATAAACGACCTACCTGAGCATGTCTCCTGTAAGGTTCGTCTTTTTGCTGACGACTGTTTACTTTATGAAACATCAAATAATATAAATGAGTCTCAAGCACTCCAAAAAAATCTATCAAGCCTTGAAAATTGAGAATCTGAATGGCAAATGAAATTTAATCCTGAAAAATGCTATGTCATAAATATTTCTAAAAAGTCGAAAACTAATTTATTTCAATATAAATTACATAACCATGTACTTGAATCTGTCAAAGACAGCAAGTATCTAGGAGTTACTATAAGCAATGATCTTGATTGGGGGCCCCATATTAATAATATAACTTCAAAGGCAAATAAAACACTAGGATTTTTACGTAGAAACATGAAAAACTGTACACGTAAGGTTAAAAACCTTACGTACACATCACTTGTGCGTCCGACCGTCGAGTACTCCTCACCAGTTTGGGATCCGTACAAACAAAGCCAAATAAACCAAATTGAGCAGATACAGCGTAAGGCAGCAAGATATGTTTTTAATGACTATAACGATAGATCACCAGGTGCTTGGTATGTTAAACAAACTAAAATGGGAAAACTTGCAATCTCGTAGAACAAAAGCTAAGCTTGTCTTGATTTATAAGATTAATGGGGGGTTGGTCGAAGTCACCAATGACGTCCTGACACAATCTGACAGGCGAACTAGAGGCCCACATAAATTTCGACATATATATACAAATAAAGACTTTTTTAAATCATCCTTTTTCCCATGTACTATTGCTGTCTGGAACGATCTCCCAGAAACAATTTGCATGTCACCCTCCCTAGAATCCTTCAAAGGTGGTATCTCCACCTTAACATTTGGAGGTCCAAAGGGCCAAGTGAGCTTTTTTCATCACTTGGCGTCCGTCGTCCGTCGTCCTGCGTCCGTCGTCCGTAAACTTTTACAAAAATCTTCTCCTCTGAAACCACTGGGCCAAATTTGACCAAACTTGGCCACAATCATCATTAGGGTATCTAGTTTAAAAAATGTGTCCGATGACCCCGCCAACCGACCAAGATGGCCGCCATGGATAAAAATAGAACATAGGGGTAAAATGTAGATTTTGGCTTATATATTTGAAACCAAAGCATTTAGAGTAAATCTGACATGGGATAAAACTGATTATCAGGTCAAGATCTATCTGCCCCGAAATTTTCAGACAAATCTGACAACCTGTTGTTGGGTTGCTGCCCCTGAATTGGTAATTTTGAGGAAATTTTGCAGTTTTTGGTTATTATCTTGAATATTATTATAGATAAAGATAAACTGTAAACAGCAATAATGTTCAGCAAAGTAAGATCTACAAATAAGTTGCCATGACCAAATTTGTCAGTCAACCCCTTTAGGAGTTATTGCCCTTAATAGTCAATTTTTAACAATTTTTCGTAAATTTTTGTAATCTTTTACAAAAAATCTTCTTCTCTGAAACTACTGAGACAAATTTAACCATACTTGGCCATAATCATTATTAGGGTATCTTGTTCAAAAAATTTGTCCGATGACCCCGCCTTCCAACCATCATGGCCAACTTGGTTAAAAAAAGAACATAGGGGTGAAATGCAGTTTTTGGTTTGTATCTCTGAAACTAAAGCATTTAGAGCAAATCTGACAGGTGGCAATAATGTTCATCAGATTTAGATTTATCTGCCCTGAAATTTTCAGACGAATCCGACAACCCGTTGTTGGGTTGCTGCCCCTGAGTTAGTAATTTTACAAAAATTTGCAGTTTTTTGTTATTATCTTAGATATCATTATAATATATAATATCTAATACTATTAATTATGATTTTAACCTTATTTTACATGATTTCCAAAGCATCAGTAAATACAGGTGAGCGACACAGGCTCTTGAGAGCCTCTAGTTTCAGATGT